CTTAAACACAAGAGTTTAGAGTAGCGCTCCAAAGCGGGCTAAGGCGTTTAGGGCTCTGAGCCCCGTGGTCTTTCTGTTGAGGCCCTTCTTCGGCTTTAGAGTTTGGTTTCAGGGACGGGGCCTGAAGCTTCGAGATCAGGGTTTAGGGTGGACCACGAGAAAGAACTAGGATCTAGAGCTGAGCTGGTCAAGGGTCGATAGATCTTTGGAAGAGCATCAGTAACCTGACAAGCAGGAGAAAGCACTGGTAATCATCTCTTCCCATAGGTAGTGAGCAGCAGGAACACAAGAAGAGGCCTCGAGCTCCTAGCCATTGCCGCCACCCGAGACTTCATGTTTGGAGCTTGCTACGCATCGCGGCAAGACTGCTGAACCCTGACCGGCTCAATTCGACAGGGGATTTTTGCATGGCCTCCGAGTTCCTTTTCCACCAAATTCACCCGTGCATGACAGAGCCCTCAATCAAGGGAGATCCTCGGGGCGGAAAAGCCAGCTGGAATGCAACCCCAATTATAGAGATGGGAAGCAGAATACTATTGACAATGCTACGACGACGACGACGACTACTACGACGACCTCGACGACGACGACTACTATTAAACATAATCATAGTACTAATGATGAAGAAATATCCAAATTAGGGATACTAGCAACCATAAGACTAACGCACTTATAATCATAAAGAATGAAAGTGATAACACCAATAAGAATCCAAAGCCCATCCCTTCCGTCTACCTGGGCGGTTCTCCCTTCTTTGCTGGGTCTCGGAGAGTTCTGACCTCGCCACGAAATCCGAACTAGGACGGATCTTCTGGAAGCGGCGGGGGCTTCGTCCACTGCGCCGCCATAGTATGTTTCAGTTTTATTCGGAATCTGAGTACACGGCCTGTTTTTGTTGGGAGAGAGAAGGAGGGAGATGGATGGCTCGTAAATGCGTATCGGGGCGGCTTGGTCTGTCAAGTTAAGCCTGAATGGAGCCTCCGAAGGTAAAATATTCTGAAGACCCGGCTAGTTTAGGGTTCCTCAGAATGCGGATAACAAAAGGAGCATTAACGAGCACCAGAGTATTTAAGCTCGTAGGGACAATTTGTGGGCCTCCCTGGTGCATAGAAACATGCAGCGATTGACACGAAGAGTAGCGACAGGGGCAGTCTTGTGTCATACGCTGGAAGAAATGTTGCTGCTGCTCCCCTGCAGTTTGTTCCTGAGCCATGATGACAGGGCGGCCATTGTGGCGAGCCTCGCCAGTGCTTCAGTAGAGAGTACATCCTTTGAAGCCCGCTTTTTCCTGGAGGGGTCGTTGGGGGGGACGCCTTACTTGCTCAGTCCATAAACTCCAGGTAACACAGAAGCTCAGAAAGCTTTAGTTACTAGGTGGGGTTATCCACACTCTTTGCTTCCTGTTTCCGAACAGCGAGCATTGGCAGTCCAAGCCCTGAAGTCAAACCCGAAGCCTCCGAGCCTGTGGCTCTTTCGGGCTTGTCCTGGCAGGCGCCTGCACCGGTGGAAGCCCGAAGCTTGGACTCTGCGACGTGGGATTGCGCTTGAAAACAGCGCTTCCGAGGCAGCAACTCCTGAAAACGGCACGACCCTCGATCCGAGAAGCCATCGGGCTGCAGCAGTCTCGTGCAGTAGTTCATGACACGTGAAAACGACGCAGTACGTCCTTGAGATGTGCGGGCAAATGCAGACGACGACGACAGACGACTGCAGGGCTCGCTGGGTTGTTGGTCGAGTCGGAGGTGGGCTCCTGACTCCTGCTCCTTAATGTGCTATCTTCTGTCGCGACGGCCTCGCAGGTGCCTGTACCACCGCAGGAAAAGCCGGCCTGAAGCGTGACTCTGAAAAATGAAACGACATAACGACATCGGCAAGTCCGTCACGCTTGCGCGGATGGAGCAGCTTAGGGAAACATTGTGTGGTAGAGGCGAAGGCGACGCAATGGAGGTGGAAGCAACGCCTGGGACAACCGTGAAGAAAGCTCTCTCAGGGCAGGGGGCGTGCAGCCCAAGAAGACACGGTTAACGAACAGAGCGCAATACCTCGCCCTGCAGACTGGTGGGACTGCGGACTTGCGGAAGAAGGCGCGCGGACAAATGGCGGAAGCAGTACTCCCGCAAGTGGCTCAAAGCCAAAAGAGCGAGGGCAGCGATTGCAGCAGGCCGTGTTCGGCCTTCGACAGCAGGTGACAGTACTACATCCCTCCCTCGATGTTGCCTACAGGAGCTGGACCAAGTCGAAAAAGCGATAAAGAGCTGCACGGGCTGCATGGCAAGAAGCCGACACACAAGGCGGCAGCTTCGTCTGTCGTGTATAGTCGAGGAAGCTGAAGCTCCAAGTGCATGAAATCCTGCTCGTTTACGGCATGCGCATGCTTCCGGTCGGCTCCGCAGTTGTGAAACATAGACATAGTTAGTGCGGCCAGCTGCACACGTGACACGAGGGTTGCCGGCTTGATCTGGCAGGACCAGCCCCTGTCGAGCACCACTGCCATCGTCGCGACCAAATGCGGTGGCGCTACGGGTATGTTACAGTCTTGATATATAGCTCATATAGCACCCATATATGACCTATAATGTATAGTGACATAGTAGGGTAGCAGTGTTGCCGTAAGGGGGCCCATGGTGTCTCTCCCCATGATCCTCTGGGTCAAGTGTGTCGTCCAAACAAAACGCTTGGCTTCAAGGAGCCGTGGGCTGTTTGAAGATTTGGGTTTAGGCTTAGGGTGTCGGGTTTAGGGTTTAGGAAAGCAAGCGTTGTAACACCCTGTTAGAGGCACTTGTTACCCTACCAGAGCGACAAGAACCTTTCAAAAGCTTACACGCACCCATCAGCAGCTCTAAAGCAGCCCCTACAAGCCCTATCAAAACCTACTCACAAGCCATTCAAAGCCTATGCAAATCGATCGAAACCTATAAGAAGCGCATCCAAACCCATAAAAAACTTAGCAAGCCACGTAGAACCCTTTGTAAATTCATCAAAAACCTACTGGAAACCTTACCTATCTTCCTTGGACCCTAAACCTTAAATCCAAAAAGCAGCACTATTCAAACCCTACAAGAAAACCCAATCTTGGGGCAGCCCCCGAGCCGCGCAACCACTGCGTGGCACAGGGCGCGAGCGACGTGCAAAGGCTTTCCGGGCAAAAAGGTTCCGGGTTAGGGTGTAGGATTCGGAAGGTTTAAGGTTTATAAGGTTTAGGGTTTGCGATGTTTTGGGGTTTGCAAGGGTTGGAGTTTAGAAGAAAAGCAGACAAAGAGGTTCAGGTATCTTCTTTAGATTGAGGGGCTAGTGGTTAGTAGGTATATGTATGCGAGCAGAGCACATATGTACATAGACACATGCACAGTGCACCAAGTAAACACCGGCGTGTCTAGCAATGATTGGGCACGAGAACTGGGCAGCATGAGGCACACGTTAGGATCCTTAGGCAGAGATGGTGATGGCAGTGAGAGGGAGCCCTAAGGCCCAAAGGCCCGAAAGCCCTAAGTCAAAGTTAGATCGGCATGGTAAATCTATACTTGGCTGTAGTCCCACTCCCCAAAAAAACGACCTGGGAGAAAAGGAGCCCAAACAACCATAACAACACTTGCCCTAAAGCCCTAATGTCCTGAAGCCCTAAGCCAAGCTGAGGTCGGCACGGTTCTGGGGCTGGAAGCCGAGGCCACGTAGCGTTTGCACTTTGCACTTCGGGCTGTAGACGCTTAGGACTATAACTATAATTAGGACTATGGCCACAACTAAAACTATAAGCGTAACTCTAGGGTTTTAGGGGTTTAATGGTTTAGGAGGGAAGTTTCGGCTTTTTGGGGTTTACCCTTCAGGGTTTCTGTAGGGGCTTGGATTGTCCAATTGAAAGAGGGTTCTTTTGAATGGTTTAGGAAAGTTTAGGGTTTGGGTCTCTGGTGTTTTTGGGGTTTGAGCTTTTGGGGTTTAGGCTTCCAAGGTGGATGCAAGGGGGTCTCAAAGCCCAGGGCTCAAGCCGCAGGGCTAGTAGTCTTAGTGTACACATACTGGTACAAGTACAAGTGCTAGTGCTACTGCTAGTGCTGATGCTGCTGCTGCTGCTGCTGCTGCTGCTACTGCTACTGCTGCTGCTACTGCTCGTGCTCCTGCTCCTGCTATCTCCACGGCTCCTGCCGCTGCTACTGCTACTGCTGCAGCTGCCGCTGCGAATTTTTGTTGCCGTTCATGCTCGCATTTGCATGTTGAGTTGCGGTGCTGCCGGTGGTAGTGTTTGGGGTACTTGGGGTACTGACAGTGCCTGCATCGCAGCACTCAGAAGCTGAAGTGTAAGAGGATTCAACCTGCCGCCGAATCCCTGAACTAAAATCGAAGCCCTGTGTTTAGCGGTTTAGGGTTACTGTTTATGGCATCTTCATGAACAAGAATTTGTTATGGTGAGGGTCATCGCAAAACATTGTGTCACCTTGCACCCTAAACGAATGCAAAGCTATGCGTGCAAACTCAGAGGGCATTGGCCTGAAAGCCTATCAAGGCCCTTGCTAAAGTCAGGAGAACCTCGCCTAGTTTGTCAGATAAAAAGAGGGACCTGTATGCACCTAAATCCCTGAGTTTGATTGCGGAGCGATTGGTAGCACAATGGCAGCCGTAAAACCTATCGGACTTCGTGATCAAATATGCAGGAGGCGAACGCAAGTCCCAACCCCGAACCGCGTTCAATCCCGAGCTCCACCCTTGGCTACCCATGTTACTGCGATTCTTTGTGCGATCGTCGAAACCCGCAGAAAGAGTCATAGGAGTCAGGCTGGCTTTCCTCTTTTGGGAGAGGGAACGACCGGAAGAAGTGCAGCAGCAGCCTCAAGCCCAGTCCTTCCGAAGCGCAAGCAGCTTGAGGGTTTGGTAAGGGCTCAAGGGATTACGGTGCAGGGCTTAGAAGTTTAGAGAAGTTTGGGGTGTAGGGCTTCAGGGTTAAGGGTTGTAAGCCTGAAACCCCAAACCCGAAACTCCTAGGGTTTAGAGTTTTTGGTCTCGTCGCCATGGACGTCGGCAGCCGCACCGTGGAAGTGCAGCAGCTGGTCGAGATGGATCCGGAGAGCTGCTACGATGCATTCTTGCAGCCTGGCTTGCACTTTTTTTTGCAGGTTTAGGGCTTGGGGTTCAGGGTCGCTAGGGGCTTCGGGCGTAGAGTTTGTTTGGGCTTTAGGGCTTTGGGTTTAGGGTTTAGGGTTCAGGGGTTAGGGTAGGATGCGCAGCCCGGGAAACGTAACGTCGACGTTAGCAGAGGATGGGGGTGCAGGGTCAAGAGGGTTATGTATGCATGCACGTCACGTAATCGTTAAAAAAAGTGTATTGTATGTTACGTGCTGTATGTAGGTATGGTACAGTATGGTATGGGATAGGACGGGATGGGATGGGACGGTCGCTGTGGTGTTGTGTGGTGTAGCGTGATCTGCAATGCTATAGTATGCTATGCCCCGCATGGATGTCTGCATCTGTGTATTTATGTGCGTGTGTGTATATATATAATATACAATATATAATATGTAATATATAGTATATAATATATAATATATAATATATAATATATAATATATAATATATAATATATAATATATAATATATAATATATAATGTATAATATATAATATACAATATAATATAGAATACACAATATATATAATATATAACATATAACATATAACATATAACATATAATATAATATATATATATATATAAATAAAATATATATATATATAAAATACAATATATATATATAATATATATAATATATAATATATATATATAATATGTATAATATATATATATAATATAATATATATAATATATAATATAATATAATATAATATAATATAATATAATATAATATAATATCATATGATATAATATGATGTAATATAATATAATATATTATATTATATTATACTATACTATACTATACTATAATGTAATCTAATATAATATAATATAATATAGTATAGTATAATATAATATAATATTTTTTCATATAATATAATATAATATAATATAATATAATATAATATAATATATAAACTACATAATATACAATATATAATTTAATATATATACATATATATATATACATACCATAAATATGGCTATGTAACTATGCAGGATATGCAGGTTTATAGCTATGTACTTGTGTATGTATGTGTGTATGTATGTATGTATGTATGTATGTAGGTAGGTAGGTAGGTAGGTAGGTAGGTAGATAGGTCGGTAGGTAGGTAGGTAGGTAGGTAGGTAGGTAGGTAGGTAGGTAGGTAGGTAGGTAGGTAGGTGTGGTTGTATGCAATTATTTTTTTGGTATGTAGATCGGGCCCAGTCTTTGGATTGCAGACCGAGGAGCAAGGTCTGGAAGGAGGGTGGTGGCCTCGGCACGCCAAAAATACTGCAGGACGGCTTAGAGTTTGACGTGTGGCAGTACTACACCGCTAAGCCGCTAAGCAAGCCATGTAGGAGCCATGCCAGCACATAAAGCGGATAGTCAGGATTGTGCTAGTGATATTGGAACATGCATGCAGTGTCGAAACTCGGGTTGAGAGTTCAGGGCCATGCCTTGCCGATACCTGCTGGGCTCCTAAGACCCTCAACCCGAAACGCGATGTGGATGCTTCTCACGCGTGAGTCCAGAGGAGGGCGACCCTGTGACCGGCGCCGACTGCGTCCGGCAAGTGGCGCTGGGTATCGTGGAGTCCCGACCCGCATTTTAGGGCTTTTGGAGTGGCGGGCGGTCGGGAGAAAAGTCATCGCCAGAGTATAGTCTTGGTCGTCGTGCTGGCTGTCATAGTTCTCCTTCTCGTCGTCCTGCTCTTCTCGCTTGATTTGCGGCTGCCTTTGCTGTTGCGCTTGTTCTATCATGAAATATTGCGGCGAATTTAGCAGCTGGCACTGCACAGTTATTCGTCTTCTACCAATAGATGCTGTCATTGTCCTGTGATGGTTCTGACGCTTCTACACTTCTACATTGTGCATGTTTGCCGTCCGTGCTGCCTTCCGTGTTCCCATGCGGCATCGCAGTCACCATCTTTGCCATGTTCATTTTCCACCGGCACCACCACCACGTACACACTTTGTTAGATTTTTGTAACCTCGGGTTTGCTTTACCTTCGGAATGGTGCATCTACACTCGGGGAACCCCAACTTTAAACTCCAAGCCCTAAACCCCAAGCCCTAAGCCGTGAATCCTGGTGTCCGAGTTGTGAATGTCCAATCCATAAGCCCTGAACCCCTAAACCCCTAAACCCTAAAAACCCGAAACCCTATAAGCCCTAATCCTGAACATCCCTGAACTCCCTAAACTGCAAACCCTGACCCGAAATATGAGAGCCTGGCGCCATGTTCAGACAGGAGTCTTGGTGAGGTAAGTTCAGGGAGGCCCCCCGGCCAGTTTTCTGGGCAAGAGGCCCGAGAACAGGGCTTTGGGGGGGTAGATCTTTGTGTAGTTGTACGGGCCCTTTAATGAGGAGATTTAACGTCTGACTGAGGTGCGCATGCCAAGGCTCGAAGCGAAGCTCTGGACCAGGAGTCCCGAAACGCTTCAGCCCCGAACCCAAACCCTAAACCGAACAAAACACAGAGCTTCGAACGCCATGCCAGCCTTGTGCGAGTGTGTGAGTCGAAACCGAACAAAACAGCCGAAGCCTTACTGGAGGGGCTTTCATGACTAGAATAGGACATAACAGAATCCCAAACCCTAAACCCCTCAACCCTAAATTCCTAAACCCGGGACACTAAACCCCAAGCCCTAGACCCTGCGCAAACCCTATACCTTAATTTGGGGTACCTTATAATAAGGATCCTACTATTTAGGGTACTATATTGGGGTCCCTTGTATCACCCCTGGCTCCGAGGAGCACATCCTCCAGGGGCAGCGCGGCGACCACCTGGAGCGCTTTGGGCTTGTATTGGTTTTAGTAGTGCTTGGGGCTCAGGGTTTAGGGGCGTAGGGTTTATGGTTTAGGGGTCGGTGTGTTGGGCTTCCTCAGGGTGTAGGGGCTATCTGTGGTTCAAAACGGGTTAGGGCTTCGGGTTTGGAGTTTCTAATCGAGCTTGAGATGTGAACCCATCAGGCTAATTTGGGAAGGGGAGCGGCATTCGCCGTTAGAGGCAATGTCACTTTATCCATGACAGACAAGATAAGCCGAACGCAGGAAAAGCGGCTAGGTACGTCATCGAAGATGGGCCATGGCCAGCCAGCTACAATCGCGCTCGTGTGGACTTCCGCTCCGCGGGCCAGGGCCAGACGTGCGTGACGTGGACCCTTCGGGCGCTTTAAATTCACAGAGTTTTGCGGTGTAAGCTCAGAGCACATGAAGCCCTGTAGCGCTGGTGCACGAAAGTTGAACAGTTGGGGGAGTTCGCGGTTCAGAGTTGGAGGATTTTGGGCTCAGAGCCTGGTACCTCACAGCAAGGCTACTTGTACCAGGACCAGTTTAAGTAGTACCAGCATGAGTAGTACAAGCAGTATGTGTAGCACGAGTGGTACTAGTAGCACAAGTAGTACTCGTAGTGACTCGTCGTGCTAGTGGCACAAAGTACCAGGATTGCTACTAGGATTTGTAGTAGTAGGAGGAGCCGTGGGAGCAGCAGGAGCAGTAGAAGCAGGAGAAGGGGGGAGGAGGAGCAGCCGCAGCAGCATCATATCTGCTTGGGGGTACATGTTGTTTTGGTAATGTCCGGCAGGATAAGGTCTCTAGCCGCCAGTGCTCAGGCACGCGGGGGTTTGTGGGTGCTCTGATCGTTGGTGATTGCGTTTGCGGGTAGCTCGGAAGTTCTCGCTTTGGTACTCGGAGGCTCTGCAGGATGCCCCAGAGCATGGGCACGTAGTGAACTCCTTGACATGCAGGCTCCCTGAAGGCACCCGAAGCCCCGAACCCTGAAGCCTCAACCCAAGCTCCAAAGCCCGAACCCAGCGGCCTCCTAAAATCCGATCGGTCGAGGACCTCAAACTTCACTCCTGCGCTCTTCGGGTCGGGCCCCCTCCTGTCTTTCACCATCCGCATGTCGCTGGGTGGGGCCTTGGGAGAAATTTTCAAACCTACTTCACGTTCCAAAACGGTACTTTTTCGTACTCAAACATGTTTGGGAGCCCTTGAAGTACAACCCAGGTCCTTCCAGACGATGCTGAAGACCTTGGCCGCGTGAGCCGCGGTGAGCGCAAAAAGGGGATGGGAGCCCGAGCCTGCAGCACGCGTGTGGGAGGAACCCCGACAACTTGTTTATTTGCAATGGTGGCTTGAACCGCATGTATGGTTACAGCACGCAGTAGGGTATAGGGCTCTTGCAGATGCGGGATCTACGACTTCTTACGAGTGAGGATGAAGGGTTGAAGGTTGGCGTGTTTTTTCAGGCCCCTACAGTCAGTAGGAGACTTTGACGCCGGAAAACCCCTCGAAGTCGCTCACACGCAGGGTATCGAGACCGAAGAAGACGCCGAAGGTGATGACGGCCGGGTGCCCCAAAGAAGGCTTTGGGCTCCAGGGTTCCGTAAAGGGATACTGCAAGGGATGCTTGGAGCCTTAAAGGGATACTATAAGGGATGCTACAGGGTAAGGGGCTTTGGGGTTTAGAGGTTTAGGGTTTTGGCATTAACTTCGTTGAAGCAGTGCTAGAGGATGAGACGGTTACGGCACTCACGGCTACTCTTTTGAACTCTCTTGCGACGACCTTTCCGACGACTTACGATTACGTGTGATACTCTGACTGCTCTTGCTACTCTCACTCGTCTTGCTCATTCTATCACCACCGCCACCACGACGATGACGACTGCTACGATCACTGCGACGACGACTTCTACGACGACTAGTGCTACTGCTATTGATGTTCTCGCCAGCCAGACATGGTGATATGCTCCATACTGGGGCCACTTTCATGTAGCTGCGACGACGACGTCGATGAGGGAACGGACTGCCCGCCCCGGCACCTCCCTGCCTTAAGCCGTTCAGCCCGCAGCCGAAACCCGAAGCAAGAAGACTTCAGGGCTTCGCGGGATTCGGGTTTAGGATCAACCTCCCAAGGTCTGAACTGAAGACCCGACATTTCAAAGACACGAAAGGGCCCCGAGGTTCGGGAACCCCTCCTTCCGCTGGCTTCGTCGCCGCGTGGCTTAGTCTCACCACGTAGCTCCGAACATCAAACATCATGGGCCTAGGCGGCGGCACAGAGATTACTTCGGAATTCTTTAGATGCAAGTCCAGGCCTTGGCAAGGCCATCCTGGCATCCTGCATTCTACAAAATCAAGCAGATGCCATGCAACTACCAAACATGCTGACAGCAAGCCATCCTGGGACGGGTCATGTAGATGCGCGCGGTGTGTTCCGGAGCATGTCCGGCGGGGAGCGATCCCCGATGGCGCCAGAGGCCGGTTTAGACTTTTTAGGGTTTTTTTCAGCAGCCGATAGGCAGCGTCTGGGAACAAAAAGAAAGGGGAAAAGGCAGGAAGGTTTCGGTTTCCAGCCGGTGCGAGAGCTTGCCGCAGCATCTTCAGAGTTCCCCGCCATTTCAGCTTGTGGCCATTCTTGGCTAGTGTCTCTACTACAAGGCAGCCCTTACTGCAAGAAAACAAAGCAAGAAAAAGCAAAAAGACTCGTAAGACATGGCTGTTGACGCTCGTCTTGCTGTTGCGAAGGGCCTATCTCTAGTGTTATCGTTGTCCTAGAAGTGCCCTTTCCCGCTGCGGATACTACTACCCCAGGACAACCCATCTAAACCCGTTGCCCTACATCCTACATATCATTAGCGCGCTGGTGCTTCCAGAATCTAGGTTTGCTTCGCAGATTGAGTGCCAGATGTCGGTTGTTCTGGGGTTGGGTTCCTTCGATTTCCGCAGGGAATCCCAACCCAGACCCACCACAGTGACGGCTCCCCAACGAACTAACTCTATACGTTAGCCAGTGGAAGGAGTGCTCGGCTTTTTTCCAGAAGTTCCACACATCTTTCCTTCGGAGTGGGGCTGCCGCTCCTACGTAGCGCATTTGGCAACGCCGTCTGTTCCCTGAGGGTCTGGTAGGCCCTTCGAAAAATGCTGCTCTTGCTTGGAGACGTGGAGACGGAAGAATGGCCCGGAGAAACAAACAACGCCCCCTTTTTTTTTTGGTGCCAGCCCGAAACCCTAAGCCCCAACCTGAGGTTGAGTCTGCATTGTTTTTGGCGAAAACCGAGGCCGAGATGGCGAAAACCGAGGCCGAGATGGCAGGGTTCTCTGAACTATTTTCTTAGAGCCTCCAGGAAAGTGGAGCTGTTCACAAGAACATACAAGAACCACCCATAGATGACCCTGCATCGTAGGTTCGTCATTCAACAAAGAAAAAGCCCAAACAGCCCAAACTCCAAACACGCAGCCACATACCATTGGCTCTTGGCCTTGAGATTTCGACGCTGAAACCTTACCCCCCAAACCCCATAAACGGCCGTGTCCCATCCTTCCCACCCTTCTCGAGGACTCTGCTTCCATGCCGTCCCCGGAGAACGGCGCGCTGCGTACCTCTGCTTTGATTTTTTTTAAAGTTGCTCCTTTGGGGCTTAAGGGCTCATGGATTTCTGGATCTCGGAAGCTGGAAGCCCCGGAGCCCTGCAGGGCCAGAGCCCGAACATGATGGGCTCTTTGCGCCAGAAGTTGCGCAGTCCGAACACCAAACCTGAACCAACACATCCGCATGATGGCCTTGCTAAGCGTCCCAATGAATAACCCCAGACAGGTCAAGAGTTCACCCCTATTTCAGAATCATAGAAGCTGTACTGAGACCCCTGACGAAGATCCCGAAATATGAGTCCTGATGAATGGGATACTACAACGACGAAGCTTCAGCCTCAAATAGGAGCCTTCGAGCCGGGTCCAGAGCCATCAGTACCAGACCGCTGGAGAGGATCTGGAAAGTAGAGCTCCTACTTTGGGGACCTATGCCGCTACAGGGTACTTTATAGGAATCCCCGTTAACGAAAATTACGGGTGTGTGTGTGTGCGGGTCAGAACCATAGTCCTCGAGAAGAACCTTGCAACCTCTAGTCCAAAATCTTCAACAAGACCCCCCAACATCCAAAAGCTTCAAAAGCTATTGAGAACCTCAACCTCTCAACAACAGTATTGAATCCTAAGTCAGAGCCCTGAAGAAGCACATTTGACAAAATCGAGGGCATCTCCTTCAACAGGAACCGCAGGCGACAAATCCGAACCCTGAAGAAGAGCCCCAAGCCGTTCCGATTCAAACGGTGTAGGGTTTAGGGCCTTTAGGATACAGAACGCCTTAAAACCCTTTCGAACTCCAACTCCTGAAGCCTGAACACCCTGAACTCCTCAAACCGAAACTCCGCAGCCTTAAACTGTAACCCCGAAGCTCCTAAACCCCAAAGAGCCTGCACAACCCAAAGACCCCCTCCCTGTTTTACGGGTTCTTCGGAAAAAGGACCACCCAAACAAGCCCAAAACACCTCCCCTAAGCCCTCAGCCCCAAACCCTAAACCCTCGCCTAAACCCTCGCCAAGCACTACCCCAAAAACCATCACAGCCGTAAGAATCCCCTAAACCCTAAACCCTTAAAACCCTAAACCCTAAACCCTTAAAACCTAAACCCTAAACCCTTAAAACCCTTAAAACCCTAAACCCCCCAGGCATGTGGCGCCTCGGCGACTTCGAGCTCGGCCCCTCCTTGGGCCGAGGCCTCGCAACGAGACCTGGGGTGCAGGGCTTGGGGTTTAGGGTTTAGAGGTTTGGGGTTTAGGGCTTAGAGGTTTGGGATTTAGGGCTTAGAGGTTTGGGGTTTAGGGCTTAGAGGCTTGGGGTTTAGGGTTTAGAGGTTTAGGGGTTTAGGGTTTAGAGGCTTGGGGTTTAGGGCTTAGAGGTTTGGGGTTTAGGGCTTAGGGTTTAGGGGTTTAGGGTTTAGGGGGTCTCGAACTCCTTCTTTTCTCTTTAAGGTGATAACTGATAAGGCAAAAGAGGATCAACAATAAACCATAACTACGCAGATTCGGAGTTGTGTAGGATTTCGCATCTACGAAGAACGATTGGGGGCTGAGGGCTTCAGGGTTCGGGGTTCTTATTTGGGAGAGAGAGAACCTGCCTGGTCATGGATGTGGCTCCTCAGGAAACGGCCAGGCCACAGAGGCCACTCAAGCCCTCATGCCTCAAACCCTAAACCCTAAACCCGAATTCCCTAAACCCTAAACCCGAATTCCCTAGACCCTAAACCCTAAACCCGATCTCTGCGGCGGAGTTCAGGCTCCTTCGCCCGCGTGCGGCTCGCGCGCGAAAGGCGCAGCCGGATCCTGGCAGCGCTGAAGCAGGCGAAGCATCGGTCGGTTAGGGTTTGGGGTTCAGGGTTCCGGGTTTGGGTTCAGGGTTTGGGATTCTGGGATTCAGGGTTTGGACATTGGGGTGTGCGGGTTTAAGGGCTCTAATTGCGGCTTCAGGGTCCCAGGAGGTTTTGGGGATTTAGGGTGGGTGGCCATTCTGTTCGGGTTTAGGGTGCTGTTGCAGTTTACTTGGTGTTTGCCAGAACGGCTTCTACCAAGCTTCAAGGAACCCTCAGGAACGAAGCGCTCAAAGCAAACCGTAAACCCTTCATATGGAACGCTAAAAGCAAGCCCTTACAGACACAAGCTCCGAACCCTAAACCCTAAATCCTAACCTACCCTGCAATGCGGGCTCGTCCTAGCTAGGTGGGAGGCAAAAGAAATCCTAGCCTAAGCCCTAAGCCCTAAACCCAAAACCCAAAACCCAAAACCAACAACACCAAAGCCCAAAATCCGAATCGCGTAAAGTAGCCCCGTAAAGGATGTCCCTGCAAAGATACCTTAAATAGGAGGTCATCGGAACCCTCAGGCGAAGCCTGGAAAGGAACCTGTAAGGAACCTTTTAAGGAACCAACAAGGAACACTAAAACTTCCTATGTAGGAACCTTTAAGGAACCTGTAAAGAACCCGTAGGGAACCTTTAAGGAACCTTTAAAGGAACCCTAAACCTTCCTATGTTCG